TTTTTTGGTATGTTTCTTCTTCCAATTCTTGCATTTTTTGCTTTGTTTTTTCTTCCATTTCTTCCATTTTTTGCTTCGTTTCTTCTTCCATTTCCTGCCTTTTTTGGTTTGTTTTTCTTCCAATTCTTGCATTTTTTGGTTTGTTTTTTCTTCCATTTCCTGCCTTTTTTGGTTTGTTTTGTCTTCCAATTCTTGCATTTTTTGGTCTGTTTTTTCTTCCATTTCTTGCATTTTTTGGTTTGTCTTGTCTTCCATTTCTTTGAGGGATTTTCCTATATCCTCTTTTAGGGCCTCTATCATTTTCATGAAAGTGCTTTTAAGGTTGTTCTTTTCTGCTTCATTCGCATTGGAATGTTGTGGTCTTGCTGGTGTGGAGTCTCTAGAATCTGGCGGTTTCATATTTGTTTTTCTGTTGCTGAGTGTGTTTTTGTATTTTGTCTTTCCCATCTCTTCTTCTAGTGGGTGCAGAAAGAGCCCCTTACTGGTCTGGGTACCAGAGTTCCCTTTTGGTGGGTGCTAGCAAGTCCAATAATCTGGTGGTTCTTCTATTCCTTGTCTAAATGCTGGTCCCGTGGGTGGAGAAGAAGAACAGGAATCTGGGGCGCTTAGCCTCCTACCTGGTCCCCTGGACCCTATGCTAGGTCCTGTTGTACCTGATCCTGAACAGCTACTCCCCTGGTCTCCCTGGCTCCTCTGGTTTCCTGGTCTTGTTTGCAGGAGAGAAGACCTGGATTCTGGGGTTCTTGGCTCCCGCCGGGATTGGGAGCTCTGTGCAGTTCCCAGGCGATCTGCAGGTACTGGAACACAGGCCAGGAAGCCGGCCTGTTTACCTGATGCTGCTGCAGGAACAGCTGCTTCCCTGGACTCCCAGCCTCCTCTGGTTTCCTGGTCTCGTTGGTGGGAGAGAAGACCTGGAATCTGGGGTGCTTGGCTCCCGCCGGGATTGGGAGCTCTGTGCAGTTCCCAGGTGATCTGCATGTACTGCAACACAGGCTGGAAAGCCGGCCTGTTTACCTGATCCTGCTGCAAGAACCCATCCACAGAATTTTTATCCTGAAGTAATTAAAAGCAAAAGAGTCAGATGGTTTGGCCTAATGAAACAGGTCAGCTCAATAAGGTTTGCCTTTGCAATCTTTGTAGCTGCCTTTTCTCAGTAATATTATCTGTCTTGTCCTAGATGACTGAACAGCAGTCTCAGTGCCTAATAACAACAAAAAATTGTTCTCAATTGCAAACTTTTATAATTATCCATGAGAATGCTGTTGGATAGTTTCCAAATTCATTTTTTCTTCTTAATTATTTGCATTTCCTTTTTAAATATTCTTTGAGATTTACACACTGTATTTTGATCAGATTCACCCCTAACTTCAAAATCCTCTTGTATCCACCCACTTCTCCAACAACCCTATTTTGTGTTCAGTTAAATATTTAAGTCCAGTTTGTGCTGCACATATTTTCATGAAGGTATGGCCTTCTTTGGAGCATGATGACTACTATGGTTTTCTTGTTTATTTGTCTTTTTTGTTCTAAATTTCTCATTTACCACTTCTAGTTTGTTTTCAATCAGTGATTTTGTTTTCACTATGATCCTAACAGTTTCAGAGGCATTCTACTCAATATTTCATTTGAATTTGGAGATTTCATTTCCATCATCATTTAAATTTAGGTTTTCTTTATCAGCTTGAACTTTATTTTTGTGTCTTTTATTGATTACTTTGTTTTACTCTTCTCTTTGCCTTCTATTTCTTTGATATGTTAGACAATGTTTATAATCATTCTTATGAACCCGTTCTCTGAAAATTCTTCCAGATCATTTTAATTAGGGGTCATTACTACAGGATTTATATTATTTGAGAGTAGATGCATTAAATTTCCTTTTCATGTTTTCTTTTATTTTGTAATAATTTGTATTTGTGCATCTTGATTTGCTAGTTCAGTTTATCTTTCTTTCAACAAATTTCCTCTTTTAATACAGGCATTTATATTCTCATGGGGTTTTTAAGCCATGGTAAGATTGGGATCTAAGTTTTTCATGTTTTGTCTTACAGTTGTGGCTGCAGCCCCATACTATTATTCTTTTCATTTATAGTCTGGTATCTTAACAAGTAGATTAGAAAAATAAATTGCTCTATGTTCCCTGATTCTGGATCGTAAATCCAGATAGGGTTCTGGGGGGTTCTGATCAAACAGCTGTCAAGATTGTGGTAGAGTTGGATGTTTTCTGTCTTACCTGGTTCCACTGGACCAGATTTTCTTCTGCCCACAATAATCCTGTTGCTGTTTATGAATCAATTACTCAGAGGCTGATATTAAAATTATACTTGTTTGGCCAATGCCTTAGACTTCTCACTGGGTATCTCTACCTATTGATTAACTGTTCGTTTATATTTTACCATGAATGAGGCTCGTGACTTGTTGCCTCACATGTTCCTTCTCCTGCGGCTATGTGGAGTCCCTCTGACTCTGCCTTCCTTCTCTCTTTATCTTTGTTTGGAATTCATGCCTAACTATATTTTTTCCTGTCCTTTGTCTGAAACATCTTTATTCATCAACAAAAGCAACATATGTTTACAGAATACAGAAGGACTTCCCACATCACTATGGTGAATAACAAATGAAAAGATATGCCTGGGATTATAGATATGGCTGGATGGTCTTTCATATGAAGATTTCTGTGATATGGTGACTTCTAACAAAAAAATAAAATAAAATGAGAAGCTCCAGGAAAAGGTTGCAGGTAGTCTCTGGAAAACAAACCATTTGGCTTTCATTCCTCAAATGATGAAAGGTGGAAAGAAGAGTTCCAGTGAGCCTACCTGGTACACTGGGTCATATGAGGTGACTGGAATATCTCTGTCAGAATGTAGGGCTTATACCTGATGAGTTTCAAAGGGAGTGAGTTAGGTATTTTCTCTTTTTATAATGAAATACAATCAGAAATACAGCTTATAGTAGGAAGTATTTGTTTGGTTTCAGAGAAATAAGATTTTATCACCATCTTGAGGGAAGACTAGCAGCATACAGTCTTGGTGACTGAAACACCTAAAATCTAACATCTTGAACCACAGGAGAAAGCATGTGAACTGGGAAGAGACTGTATATTTGGAATCTCAAAATGTGACCCAGTGATACAGTTCTTCCTCCATGACTACATCTTCTAAATCTACCCAGACAGTGCCACCAAGTGGGGTCCAAGCATTCCAAAGTTTGGCAGCAAGTAAACATGATTGCTGGACCAGAGAGAGTTCACATCTGTAGTGACAAGTTGAAAATAGATGGAGCCAAAAGTGAATAAAACATGGCTTTGGAATGTCAAAACTTACTGCAGTGACTTAATCCCTGTGGTTATATCTCACTTGTAGAAATAAGCCCTGTCTGAACATCAGAGAATGGAGCTTGCCACTAGCTAACCATAGAGTTCTGCAGGTCTGTTTAGACAGAGAGTAAGTGAGATAGCTGAACAGAAACAGGATATAAGCAGGGAGAAACAGAAACTCACTCTCTTGTCTGCTGAAACTTCAAGGAGCTAAGGTGGGGCTATGACTTGCTCCTACTTCTCTCTGGCCTATCAGACAGGCTTTATTTGTACAAGCAAGATATCATCACAGGAACTATGTCATTTCAGTAATCGAGATATCGCCACAAGTTCCTCCAACAAATCATACATCCTAAACATACTCAAGCAATGCTATTAACTGAGGACCAAGTATTCAAACTTCTGATGCTAAGGGTAGATATTCTTATTCAAACCACTAAAAGGAGGAAGTTTAAATTTTCTTAAACTGGAATTAATGAGATAAAACAACAAATAATTTATGGGTGGTAAAACATTAGTACTTTCATGTAGGAATTTTTCTTTCATGTTTTGACAAACATTAAATATAAAGTTTGAGTTGTGTGTTTTATGTAGATATCTAAAAACAATACAATGAAAACTCCCAAATATGAATGAAATTTTTGCTTCTGTATCATAAAAAGTTTTCACATCATATACAGAATTTAGGCATAGAAAACATTTCTCTGTTCTTGATACACTCCCAACTCCTTCAAGAATTAATACAACAATTCTTCAGGTGAATAAAATAGAATCGTATCTCAAACGTTAGCCCATTTATATTTGTTTTGGATAGGAAAAAAGAGCCATAGGAATTTTTATAAACAAAATGTGAGCTTTTGATCTGCTGTCATTTAATGGTACAAGGTTCTTTGCTAAGTTTCTGATTAAAGATTTATATCTCATCCACCTTAGAAAATTATAATAATAGGAAAATGTATCTTACTTGAAGATGTCATGAAAACCAAGCATCTTTTCGGATTTCTTTCAGTTATAAAATATATAAGATTCTAATTTAGTTTCTATACTAAAGTATGATAAATTTTATAACTGATAAAACATTGAACTGAGTACAGAAAATGCTTCCTGTCAATATTTGGACAATACAATATGTCCTATCATCTTCTTTATAGGAAAATTATAGTCAAGATTTGAACTGGTTTATATTATGACTAAGTGACATTCCCTAATAAACAAACGAATGAGTAACAGCAAAATCTCCCAAACACTTTCCAACAATTATACACATACATTTATTATTTTCTATTAAAGTGAATATTTATTTAATTCCAATAAAACATTTCTTAACAATACAATTCTTTGTATTACCACTAATTTCAAAACTTTTTGTTGTTATATACTTTTATTTATACATATTCACAATGAAATCATTTGGGTTCACTGTCATTTACTAATCATTTACCAAAAGTCATACTATCAACTTAGTTAAGCATGAGAAAAAATGTTTGGGTTTACAAGTAGGGTAACTTTCCTCATGTTATATGAAGAGTTTATTATAATATTTATGAACAGTAAAATGTGCTTGGAAACTTAATACCTTTTTCTGCCAGCAGGATGGAAAATTTCTCATAAAGTTTTATTTGTATTGTACTATTTGTGACAACCATATGCTTAGCCTTCATACCATTTATTTTTTCAGCAAAGATGAAGTTAAAATTGACAGATGCATCTAATACAAGAAAAGCAGTATCATTGGGGAGCGAATGAAGAATACCACAATGTAATGTATCCACAAATTCATCATAATGACGTTGAAAATTCAAACACTCTTAGAGATTTGAAGAGATTTGCTTATAGGAAAATATCTAAACACAGTCTAAAATATTAAAGTTGTACATTTATTTTATTAATCAAAAAATAATGCTTCATATTCTAACCGTTCCCACTGGGTTGAGGAAAACAAAGTTATCACATGCTTCTCTTTATTTTACAGGGCAAAGATTCTGCAGCAGCATAATTGTTTAAAAATAACATTAAACAACAAAGTTGATTATAACTAATGTTGGACAATCTTAGCAGATTATACCTTCTAGATAATTCTAGGTCATGCTTACAAGGAGAATTGTGAGATCATCAATTTGCTGTATGAGGAAAATAGCAAGAAACTTATGACTATCTAATGCAATATATCAGATTATCTGAATATAGACAAAAGTAATTTTATGATGCAAACTCCTGAGTTCTATACTCATGCTAGGTAACAGAGAATTTGAATAAATTATTAAGCTTGGGATAGTGCTCATTTGTAGACAACATACCATTTTGCCACTGAAATGTACATTTGATTATGGAAGCATGCCTCCACATTTTTAGTTAGTAAGAGGGACAGATGGAAAGGATTGAAAGAAGGAAGTCAACAGGGAAGTAATATAACTTATGATGTCTCAAGCTTTTAAAAACAAATTATTTTTAATGTTTCATACAATATATTTTCATACAACCACCACTTCCTCACTCCTTCATGTCCTTCCATGTCCACACCCAGACATCCACATGTTCTTCTTAAATTCCTGTCCTCTTTCACTACATTTAATGATTCTAATTAGTTCAATGCATATATACTTGAGTATATGCCTTACCACCTTGGTATACACGACTTGAAAAATGGGTTTTCTCTGAATAATCTGATTCTACCTCATTCAACAATATGAGACAACTTGTATTTCTTTGCCTAATAATGGGAATTTCCTCTGTGTATAGTGGAATGTTGACTTATGTGGACTTGTACAGATCCTTTTCAGAAAACCATATGGTTGAACATACATGGTAGCACACATATCTATCATTTTTATTAGAAATTATTTGGTAGAAGTACTCTTAATCATCTTGCTATTAAAAAAATTAAGTCCACTTCTCTAAAATATTCTCTGAGCCATCATTATGACAATTTTGTTAGAGATATCACTATTTGGAAATAGACATCCCATGGTCACTTTTGACCAGTTGTAGTTTTCTTTAGTGGCTTTCATCTTCTACCAAAGAAGCTTATTTAATGAAGGGTGTAAACTACATTTATCTATATGTTTAAGGATAACTGTGTAGAAGACAGATGGATGCTGTATCTGTTTACCGAGTGTGTTTTCAAGCACTTTTTTAAAATAACTGTTTAAGTTGATAAAGTCAAAGTGTGTTTCTCTTCTAGATGGTCCCCAAAAAAGGGAAAGAGAGAAGAAATTTAACCACGCTTCAGGTTGAAGGGTAAAACATTGGCAACCCTATATTTTTTGATTTGGGCAAGCATATTGAATGGAGCCAAAGTCATGATGTCTTATATCTGTGCAACATTAGCCCTATCAAGAAGAAAATTATTAGTGAAAAATAACTTCCTTAACAGTATTTCTTTTGTCAGCAGGATGAGATTTCATAGTTTGTTGAAGAAACATAATAATTATTTAGTTGCTCATTTTTGAGGGTTTAATAAAGTAGACTGCAGGTGACCAAAATTAATTATTTTCACATACTGTAAAGGCTTGTTGGGGATCTGATCCTCAGTGGTCTCTTGAGCTTCAAAATAACCTTTGGCTTCTCTCTTTCTTTGCCAGTTATTTGATATCCTGATGATAAACCAAATGGTGGGCTACACCATTTCCCTTAGAAAAAACGAGGAATTTTTGCTGCTTTGCCAAAATTCTACTTTGTAAAATGTACAGTGGTGCAAGTCAAGCTAGTGGAATCTTCAGCTCCTACTTGAAGAAAAGGACATGTGACTTGCCAAAGCTACAGGACCAATTAAGAGGTATCACTGGGTACTCATTGGCTTTAGATTGCATGGGGCAAAATATTGACCATTTATTTGTTCTAACTACATTAGTATAGGCTCTCAAAAATGGCTAGTGAATGTTCAGAAGATAAATTACAACAGTGTGATGTTTTTAACTACTGTGTCATATTTAGAAAAAGTTTGGTTCAAAACCAAGCACTTTCAAATAAGCCTTGATTTGATATCCATTTACTTCCTTAATTCAGTCTTTGTAACTGTGGTGAAGAACAAATCAATAACTCAGTTGTTTCTGGTAGAGATTTAATATCAATGTGTTCAGCTTTGATCTTAAAATTTTCAATACATACATATCATCTTTAAATTTACCTTTTATAAAACTTAGTACCATGCTTAGGCCATCCATCATTTCTGTTCATTCTGAAAACTTTAGTCACCTAAGTCTTCACATATAAATCTTTCTTAACTATAAAGATACCCATTCTTACTTCTTCCTAACATTTCTTTCCCTAATTCCAAGTTCACTTTTATTAATACTACTGGCCATAGTAACATTTCAAACTTACCACCCACTGTGAGAATTTTTCTCTGTGGGAAGCTAAGCAGTGATTTCCCCCTCCACATAAAACCCTATGACAAACCACAGTGTGATTCCATCAAAATTACATCCAGGGGAACCAAGCATTTTATTTGGCTTACTCATAGATCATGGGCAAGTTGTTACTGACAGGAGTGTAGGTGATTCAAAGGTGGCAGCATTGGAAAGTCCTCCCTCAGAATGAAGAGTGGCTTCCTCACAGCTACACTGACTGAGCCTGATCTCTCTACTTTTCTCCAGATTATGTGCTTGAGCTGTTCTCCAAGATCACAAGGTCATATGTTGTTAGGACAAAATTGTACATCAGTATCTGGGAGAAGCATCTGGATATACAGGTGAGAGTTCAGTAATCCTTTCAATCATTCTTTCTATAAGCGACTGTCAAAAATTAGCAAGACACACTATGATGAAATTTCATAAGCAGATACAGCTGATAGCATGAGCATGGTACTTGCTTAGCTTGAATCATAATACTGTGCAATACCATCTTATTAAAGGAAAATTAAATCCAAAGTGGAGACAAGATAAGGTCATAAATTCACACTACCTAGGTTCCTAATGTTGAACTATGGGAACTTGTCAGCTACAATTAAACATCATTTAAAAAAAGTCAATCTTGAGGGGGTGTATTGTACAATGCAAAAACTGCTATAACCATCCTCTTACTTTTGAACAAATATAAGAATCAGATTAGCAAATATAGAGAAACAATTCCAAAAAATTAACAAAAACAACAAAAAGTGTTTAAACTGTTGTCTATTCAACCCAGCATAATCAACTTAGGGACTCCTCTTAGAACTGTCATACAGAAGTTAGTATTTGGTGGGTACTGAAAACTGTTTTAGTCAGAGGATGGTCTCGGTTTACTCCATGGATGAACATCTGAGTGGTTAAATGTATAATGCCTGTTCAACTGGCACTATTGATGTCCTCCTTTGCCCTTAAACAGAGTTCAGGGGTTACCCTCACTCAGGAAGATGGCTTTGGAGGACACTGTGACAAAGATACTTTAGTCTGAAGTGGGAGAACCAAATTCCATCTTCAGAATAACTTCTCAGCAAGCTCAAAGAACACATGGCAATTTGCCAGTGTAATGTACAAAAAAAGAGTGATTTGCTAATTTTTACCACAGAAGATAACGGTTATTTTAATTTTAAAAGACTAAAAGAGAGGGAAAAATCCAAGTAGTATACTCTGGAGAGGAAATGTACTGTTGAGTCTAGGGTTTATAGGCTGAAACAAAAACACCTATCCTCATTACTTGCATACTAGTGCACATGAGTCTTGTCATCTTCTGGGGATTAACATGAGACAAAAATTATCTGTTCCCTGAGAGTGGTATAACAAACAGAATACTTAATTTTGAAAGGTAACTCTCTGATATTTTTAAGTTCTATAAGATGATAGGTGAGATGCAGTCCACATCTGTTATGGAAGTTCAAGCAGACAGAAGTATCCATCTTTCCATGTCCCTAATATGTTATCTTCCATAGCTAGGCTTCAAGTTATCAACTGCTTTGGAGCGTGTAATTATTATGGAGCTGGGTTAAACTGAATTAGACTAGGAATGTCTTGTTGTCCTTATGTAAATCAAAGAACACATATTGTAATATCTCCAAAATTTACTTTGTCTTCTCTTCCAGAACATCGTCTGCTATTTGTTTCTCATTTCTTCCTCCTTCCCTTGACATGGACCATGAAGAAAGGGGACATCTGAGACACTCATGAATATTACCCACAGAAACTTGATTTCTCTGTACCTTGTTCTGCTCTGACCAATTTGACTCTATATGACAATATACTGTAACTTAAGTGAAATCTCCTCCATCAAGTCTAGTTTATCCTATTATGTCTTTTCCTAACCCAAAATAAAAAAGAAAGTCTCTGTAGTGTTGATCTTTACATATCAGTGAAATTGGACAATTTCTAATGATTATATATCTCAAAAGAGTTTTGGATGCTGTGGGTTGAACTTTCAATATTTACATTAATCATTCCCCTTGAGCCTTTTCCTAAAATTTATTCTTATTCCATAGTATATTTCAGAGTCTAGATTGGAAATAGACATGATAAATACAGGGTATATTTCTCATTCAAATAGGGTTACCAGATGGGCTTCCTGGATTAAAACAGCCAAACTGGGAAATTAAATCCCTATAATCTACAGAAAACTGAACACATAAAGCAAAACAAAACATAAAAAATAAAACTAACAAAGGAACTCAGAGAGTCATGGCATCTTATCCTGTCTTTATCTCCCCAACTAGAAACTGAAACAAAAGCAGGGGTTCTAAGAGCATGACGGTGCAGAAATGGAAATACACAAGAACAGAGCTATTCCCTTTCAGCTGCTGAAAAATAGACACATAGACAGCTAGAAAGACTAGGCAGTGGAACCCAATTATATGCCTGGCCTCTACACCACTCTGGGCACAGAAGCCATGTGTTGCAGATACTTACTGGCATCAGTTTGTCTATCAACTGGCAGTCTATCCTTTTCATCCTGGTTAATATCTGTGCTTTCACAATATAGGCTTCTGTTGCTGAAAATTCACCTAAGCTTCCAAGGTCTAGCCATCTCAAAGTGTCAGCTTGGTTTTATTATTTGTGCAGTGTTGGGGGCACATGACTGACAAAACTGCAAGTTCTTTAAGAAGGCAACAAATTTATCCTTTAGAACAATGCTTTCAAAATAAAGCAAAGTTCATCATGGAGGTCCAATATTATATCCTTTGTCTGATGTGAGAAATGCATCAGCCTTATCACAAAGCAATAAAAATCATCTAGAGCTTCCACTTTCAAGATCATATTATGTATCCAGACAGACGGGTAAAAAATGATGGGAGCCTGTGGTGCAAGACTCCCTTGAAGATTCAGTATGTACTGGGAAATTTTATAAGTAATACAATTTATGTTTGAGTCTTACAGTTGCACTAGCCATTGTAGTGGCAGGCTTACATGGTTACTGCCATCATGACGATGCTACTAACCAAGATGGTGACCAAGTCATGTGGCTTTGGCCATATCTATGACATCACTAGCTTAGAATGCAACCAAGTTACCTAGAAATTTCTATTTTGGTGAGGTCACCAGACAAAAGTGACAAAGTCAGATGGTTACTTTCTGTCTGTGATGTGCTCAACCCCATGATAAAGTCAGTTCATCCTCTGTAGAACAGGTCCTTGTAAGATCTGAACATCTCACAGATTAAATGTTTACAACAACAACAACAACAGCACAGCATACAAGTTAGCATGGATATAACAAGAGACATTTTCTTCAGTTAAGCTGCTCCAAAATATCAAAATAAAGGAACAGAAGGAATCCCATGGCTTCAAAACAAGGAAGGGGTTACCATATGTCTTATCACAAACTGACTGTGGACGCCAAAAGACAGAGTCTGGTTCTCATATAGCTCTCCCCTCTTGCTACAAAAGGAGCCCATAAAATAAATAGAATCAATAGTTCAGGGTGACCAGTAACCATAGGTGGCGCTATTGTTCTGGGAGTTCATGGTGAACTGGGAAGGAGAATGATTGGTACAATTTTGTCAGACCTGAGCATTAATGTGAACTCTGATCAGACAAATCTGTGAGTCTTCATGTTGTCAGAAACTTAACTCCCATAGAGAGAAACTCATTGCACATAGTTATTACTGCCTTAAAACCTTAACAGTCTGGGATGGTGCTTTTAACCAGTTAGAAAAGCCAGTGACAGAATCCAGTGTGGTCTAAAACCTAATCACACCAAACCTCTGTTTCCCTCCTATCCCCCAAATCTGATCCAGTCCCACCCTCTTTTTTTCCTGAAGTAAATCCAGTAGGAATGGAAGTAGGTGAGAAGACTTTTCCCAGAGAGAAAATACAGAGAATTTGAGAAAGCACATTCAGCTCTTTATCACATGGATCAGTCAGCAAGTGATAAATGGAAAAACAACCCAAGAAAGGAAGGCATTGTAAGAAAGAGAATGTTTCTTTGAGGAAGGCAGTTCCCTGCAAGAAGGTCATAATTCCAAGGCAAGAAGGATAAAAGTAGGTATATGTTTTGCCTTCAGAGATACTTCTATAATATCCCCTAAGGGGGTCATTAAATGTGTTAACAGGATTTGGGAGTTGTCACATATGTGTCCTCTCTGAGACTGAAGAAATTGGGGGCAAGGTTATGTCTTATTAATAAAGGAATTTAAGAACAGAATTAAAGAGAGCTAATGACAATTTTGCTAAAGTTTAAAAATAATGCATTTCAGGACAGGCACATTGTAAATTTCAACAGTTGCATGAAGGAGGGGAGTGCTGGGGTAAGTGGTGAGGGGCCATGCTATGTAAGCTGACATGAAGGATGAGTATTGAGCAGACATGTGATGAGGAGATAAAATTTAATAAAAAGAAAGGAATCCAAAACTATTGAAAGCATACTTGTTGGAAAGCAACAAAATGAATAAACAAGGATGGAAGGAAAGAACGAAGGATATAAAGGTAAGAAAGGTTGACCTTCCTGGCTCAGAATGGAGGACAGACCCAGCCAACCTCACGCCTGCCCAACTTGAAGAAACTTTCTCTTCCTGGAATTGTTTCATTAGGAATTCAGAGTTTTCCATGTAATCTTCCACTCTGAGATTGAAATATTCTATTTCATGTCTTGTGAGGCTACTGCATGTATTTCTATTATTTTTAAGCAAGTTTGTTATCAGTGGACAGGAAGGCTACTCCTTTCTAAAGGTTAATTGTGTATGCTGTCATTTGTTGAAAATTTTGATCATATCAAATTTTTTGACGCAGTCTTTGGGCTCTCTTATGCAAGTATTAAAATATGTTCAAAGAGGGATAATTTGGTTCCTTTTCTACTTGTATTCATTTAATTCCCTTCTCTTGTCTTACTGCTTTAACTAGGGCTTCATGTCCATTTCTGGACTTTTTTTTGGTGTTGTTTTTGTCCCTTTTTTCTCCTTTATTTCCCCTTTGGTCCACAAATATGTCACTGGTACATTGTATAACCTCTGTAAGTCTTTATAAGATCAACATATTCTTTTGCAATTGATTAATCTCTATTGCATTGTAAAAAAACCACCTACTTCTGATGCACCTTGGAACCTTGGTAGGGTAAAGTGAAATTAATTGCATTTTTTCAGTGAAATTTATTTATGTCTTTTATAACCACTTATTTCCTAACTGTTAAAAGCTATCATTAGGTTTGTATACTCAAATTTTTGCCCTCAAAAAGGTCTATTATTTACAGCAAACTCATAAAATTGGGGTTGTGCCTTTATTAACAATGAAGTATACCTTAATCAATATATATATCACATTAGCTTGATGAAATGAGGAACATACAGGCAATATTTGAAGAAGTCACTTTATTTCTGAGTTTAATATCATCAACTACAAACTAAAGATACTGAACTAGATGTTTCCTGGATCTTTGGAGATCAAAATTCCATGAATATTTTTTGCTTTATGAATAGCTATTGTGTGTTGCAGGTAACTCTGTTTATAATGAAATCTCTGTGAATAAGAATCTGGGTTTTGACAAATGGAAAGGGATGCTCTAAAAATTATCAATGAAAAGGGACATTCCATCAACATAATAATAAACTCTGATGCTCCTGATTTTTGCTTCTTGCCTCTTTTTTACCATTTAACAAATGTCAGGGAAGAAAGATCACAATTAAATTATGGATGCCCATCACTTAATGTTAGCTTCAGGCTGTTAACTTTGTAAATTTAGACACAGCCAGAAAATGACCTATTACTTCCCTGTGATTCATGTGTTAACCAGAGGCACCAGAATTTCCATGAGCAATAATAAGTGCCAAGAAGAAATTCTTTCCACTTGCTATAGTGAGTGAATAAACTGATCACATCTATTTCCTTCTCTTGCTGGCAAGTTCTTACCAGAATTTTTACTGGTAGAAAAGTAATGTTGTTTTATCTAGAATTAGGACAATGTCTTGAAACACCACAAATTTGTCATATTATAAATAAGTTTTAGGAAAATTTAATTTTCTTGGTCATAGAAAACTCTGTTTTGTCCCATGTGTAGATTTGTGATTTTCAATTAATCACTCATGTCTTCTCGAATCTATTCTATTCAATCATTCAGGGTACATATATTTTTAATTCCATTAAAAACACTTGAAATTAGTATACTATTGGTTTTCTAAAAGGTGTTCATATACATCTTTATTCATTGGTAACATTCTTCTTACCCATTTTCTTTCACCATTCCCTCACCCACATGCCAAACTTTAAAACTATAGCCCTCTGTATGATTACTCCAGATTTATTTTTCACATTGCATGGGCCAATTTCTTTTTTATTTTTTATTATTTATTTTTTAATTTAAATTTAAATTAGAAACAAGGTTGCTTCAAAAGTCAGTTCCAGGTCTCTCTCCGTTTGCCTCCCCTCTTCCCATGCCTCCCCCCCAATATCCCCTCATTTCTCTGGGAGGGTGAGAGCCTCCTTGGGGGTGTCCATAGTCTGATATTTCATCCAGGCATGATCTAGACCCTCCCACAAGAGTTCAGGGTGAGAGAGCATCTCACATTTTTGGATGGGAGTCCAAATTCCATTTGTATACCCGGGGTAAATACTGATCTACTGCCCAAGGCTCAATATATTGCCTAGGCCTCCTCACTGACACCCACATTCAGGAGGTCTTGATCAGTCCCATGCTGGATTCCCAGGAATCAGCCTGGGATTCAAGAGCTAACCCTTGTCAGGTCAGCTGTTTCTGGGGGATAAACCAGCCCAGTCTTAATCCCTTTGGTCATCAGTCCTAAGTCTGTTACTGGCTTTCTTGAGTTCAGCTCAGTGCTTAGCCATGGGAGTCTGCCTCTTCTTCCATCAGCCACTGAATGAAGATTCTCTTTCACAGACTCTCTGG